CCTCAGTTCCTATTTTCTCAGGGTATATTCTAAGCAGTGGAATAGCTGAGTCACATGGAATTTCTACGTTTAGTTCTTTCAGGAAACGACAAACTGCCTTCTAGAGTGGCTGTACCATTGTACAATCCCATCAACAATGTATAAGAGTTCCTATCTCTCCATATCCTCTCCAACATTTATTACTTGCCACCCTGCAGAACATATTATCCGGGAGGCTGGGCTCTATGAGAAGAAATGTGGGGTGAAGATTGGTGGAAAATCTATTGACAATCTGCGTTATGCAGATGACACAACCCTGCTTGCTGAAACTGAGGGGGACCTGAAGCGCTTGCTGCAGAGGGTCAAGGACTGCAGCCTCCAATATGGATTGAGGCTCAATGTCAAGAAGACAAAGATTCTCACCACTGGGCCAATTGACAGCATCAGGATGGATGGTGAAGAGATTGAGATTGTTCACAGCTTTAATTTGCTTGACTCCACAGTCAACACTCTTGGCACCAGTAGCCAGGAAATTAAAAGATGTATTGCCATGGGAAAGTCTGCTGTTAGGGACCTCTCCAAAGTACTGAAGAGCAATGATGTCTCTCTGGAGACTAGGGTGCATCTGATACAGGCCATGGTCTTTGCTATCACTTGTTATGTATCAGAGAGTTGGAAAATAACTAAGGATGATAGAAGGAGAATTGATGTCTTTGAGCTGTGGTGCTGGAGAAGAGTATTGAGGGTACCGTGGACTGCTAGGAAAACAAACACATTCATCCTGGAAAGGGTTAAACTGGGAGCCTCCTTGGAGGCAAGGATTCTGAGGCTCTAACATACTTTGGACATGTTGTTAGAAGGGACCGGTCTTTGGAGAAGGACATCATGCTCGGTAGGGTGGAGGGACGGCACAGGAAGGGAATGCCCTCAATGAGGTGGATTGATTCAGTGACTGGGGTAATTGGGATGGGTGTATTTGAGACGGTGCAATTGGAACAGGACAGAGCAGAGTTTAGGGCTGTTGTACATAGGGTCACAATGAGTAGGCACATAACAACAACTACCCTGCTAAACTTTGCCACTGCTACTGGGGTAAGATGGTATCTCATTGTTGCATCTCTCTTACTGCCAGGGATTTTGTGCATTTCTTCACATGTCTGTTGGCCTTCCGCATGTCCCTGACAAGAGAGTGCATAAGATTTTCCCAGCACCAAACCTCTTCTTTATGGAATAGTATGGCAAGTGCTAACTCTCAGATTAAAATTTAAAGTTTCAGTTATTATTTTTTCCTTCCATGAGAGAACTATTTAAAGAACATAAATATAACTGCTGTTATTGTGCACCATTGAGTCAGAACCAACCTAGAGCTGACCATCAGGTGCTTTTTCAGAGGCAGTTAATTTACACAGGAGGAGAATGCCCATCTTACTGTGAAACAGTTGGTAGATTAGAACCACATGCCTTCAGAATTGCAGTGTAGCTCCTTAACACGAGGCTACCAGAGCTCCTGCTAAATTTGATTGTTGTTGTTGTTGTTATGTGCCATTGAGTCGCCTGCGACTCATAGCAACCCTATATACAACAACTGTAAGCACTGCTCTATCCTGTGCCAATCTTATTGTCTCTGACACACCTATTCCCATTACCCCAGTCACCGAATCAATCTATCTCATCGAAGGTCTTACTGCACTGTCCCTCCGCTCTCCCAAGCATGACGTCTCTCATTAGATTCCCATATTCATTTTTGTTATAGAAACATTTAAAAATTAGAGAAATCAGAATATATCTCTTCTAGCCTCTGTTTCTCTTTCTGCCTCAATCACTTTCAGTAACTTTAGCAATAAACAGTAAAAATGATGGAGTATACAAACCACTGACCAAGTGAATCCATCATGAACCTGTGTCTGTGAATGGTTTCCTAAATAAGGGAAATGTTTTTCACACAAGAAGTCCATTTTCTGTTATTGCTTTTTTTATTTAGATTACTAACTGCTATATATTTTAAAGCCACCTTAACAGTTTCCTGTCTCTCACTAACAAGAATGACTTGTCATATTGAGCAATGTAGACACTGTCCATTTGATCCACTCCAGAAAGCTGTCTGTTTGATACAAGAGTAAATGACTTCAATTCCTTTGTGAAATGAGTATAAATAAATAAATAAATGAGACACATGAATAAAAAAAAAAAAACAAACCCGGGTCCGTTGTATCAAAAGAAAAAAAATACATGATAGGAACATTTGGAGGCCTTGTTTGATACAAAATTTAACAAGACAAAGAATTCTGTGTTATAACGGTTAGGGGAAAGGATGCTCACCAATATAAAATGTCATTGAAATAGTTTCTTTCTTCCTTTTGCAGTCACCAAAAGTAATTATAATTTTCAGGACTTTCTACAATTCACTATATTTCTAAATTTGGGTACAAATTTCAGAGTTAAGTTTGGACAATGGTTTGGAATATCTTTTTGTTATTGATATTTTGGATATTATAGTTGTAAAATTTTGTCATTTTGTTTTGCTTCATTTCTAGAGGCAAGAAATGTTCACATTTTTCTTTTAGAATTGTTGATTAGTGTTTTCACTTTCAGAATTACACATTGTTGCATTTGACTTCTTTTGACTAACACTGTTTACTTGGGATAAAGTAGTAATAGTGCTATTCTGTATCATCTTTAAGATTCTAGCTAGGGATAAAAGGCAAGTTATAAGAAAATCTATGTCTTATAGGAGCTTAGAGGTAGTCTTATGATCTTAAAAGTGAAATCCCAAGATGTCCTGCACCAGAAACCTTCCTACTGTAGGTGTTTCTAGGTATTGTTAAGTCCACTAACTAGGATTCAAACTGACCTTAACAGCAGATTGAAACCTTGCCTTATCGTGTGTGTCAATTCATCTCATTGAGGGTTTTCTTTTCACTGACCCTCTGCTTTTCCCAGCATGATATCCTTTCCAAGGACTGGCCCCATCTGACAACATGCCCCAAATATGTGAGAGGAAGTTTTACATTCTCTCCTTTAAGGAGCTCCTTAATTATATTTCTTTCAAGACAGATTTTGTTGTTGTTCTTTTAGTAGTCAAAGTCCATGGGATATTAAATACTCTGCATCAACACCATTCAAAGGCATTGATTTTTAAGTTTTCCCCTTTTATTGTCCAATTTTCACATGGAAGCACTCTCTTAGTCTCTTAGACTTTAAAAAGAAACAATTCTTAATCCCTACTGTATACATTCTGTAGTTGTTGGGGTATAACTTGAGAAATTGCAACATAGTGATTCTAAGATTCTAATGCAAATTAAAGCTTTCTTTCAATTTGCCATGGAATCACTTCAGTAGGTCTGTACTTAAAAGTACTCACTCAAAGCCCACTGTCACTGAATTTAGACTCAAGCAACTCTATGTTGTTACTGTGAAGCTCTGTCAAGTACAACTTATAGTGATCCTATGAACAAAAGATCTAAACTGTCCTACCCTGTGTCATCCTTATCATCCTCAACACATTTGCCACAGACTCTGCATCAATTCATCTCACTGTTCCTCTCCATTGCTGACCCCCCCTACCTTTCCATGCATGATATCTACCCCTTTCAAGGAACAACTTCTCCTAACATATCCAAAATATGTTGGTCAGAGCTTCACCATCTTTGCCTCTAAAGAGTATTCTGGTTACATTTTCTCCAAGACATCCTTGTGTGTTATTTTGGCAGTCCATTAGATATTCACTACTCTTCTCCAACATCACAACTCAAATGAATCAATTCTCCTGTCTTCCATATTCACTGTCTAGCTCTCAGATCAACTCTGTAAGAGGGAATTTTCCTATGGTGGTTCCTAGACTATAAGTCTTTATAAAAGTAAGCTGTTTTATATTTCTCCCAATGTGTGGCTTGAGGGTTTGACATGACAACCTTCTGTTTAGCAGCCAAATGCTTAAACCACTTTATCACCAGAACCCTTGTTCTCATGCACAGTGGCATGAAACACTACCATGCACACCATCTTTGTGATAGGGTGTGGACTCAACCATTGTGATCTTTAAGGTATTGAAGTAGATTGCCAGGACTTTCTTTCTAGTCTGTCCTAAACGGGAAGCTCCATTGAAACCTATCCTGCACCAGAGCAGCATGCAAACATATATGTTTGAGTGTGTGTCTTAGCAGTGGCAGAATTTACCTTTCTGGGTTTTAGAGAGAATTTGCAACAAACTTTACAGATAGATAAACTTTACAGCTATAGTATTTGTTGACTAATTGGTCAGGATGGAGTGATCAGATTTTATCATTCTTTCTCCAGACACTGCCAGCAATTTTCTTTTTTGTGCAATAAGACAGATATAGGTATCAGCACCTATTTAGCCTTCTATTTATTCTGCAAAAGGTTGGTGTTCAGAACTCACCATTCTCCTCCATCCATGAGGGGAGTTCAACGACCCTGAGAATAGGAACTGGGTAACAGAGTAAGGCAAAGCCAATCAGAGTTCTCCGATGCCACTCCAAGACGGGCGACTCCAGGACTGGCGGAAGATGAGGCTTGCTGCCTTCATGAGATAGGACAAAGAAGGCAGTAATTGTTTAGGGTAGTAGAAAACTCCTTGTGAATTATCAAGTGTGAGGGTTAAACCTTGGAAGAATTGGCCATAAGCCAGACGCTCTTTCAATCAGAAGACTTCAAGGCATTTCAGAGAAACTGTTTTCCGTGATCTTGGAGAACCTGCCAGAAGTTATGGCCATACCAGGCTCCAAGATGGCGGCAAGTAGCTTCACTGCTGCCGGTCAGGTGATGCAGCCCTCGCCGACGCCCCCGCCCCCACAGCTGTTCCGCGCGCCTCTCCCGATGTCTGGTGGGCGTGGTCAGATAGAAGGCTCCTTTCTTCCCATACCTGGAAAAATTGAGGAATGCACATGCGCATTTGTGCTTTAGGCCCTGGAGCCGCTCGCTCCCGCCCATCGCTCCGCCCTGGCCTTCTGGGCGGGGCGGGGCCGAGAGTCCAGCTGCTGCTGGCTGGGGCTTGAGTGACTTCCTTGTTGTGAGCCCCGGCCCGGCAGTGACCCGGCTAGTGTCCCCGCTGTCTGGAACGGGACTGCTAGCCTGAGTGTAGGTCGCAGCCGCAGCCCCTCTCCGACGGTCCCCCTTTCAGCACAGGTCCTTTCCGCACGCCCCGCGCTCTCTAACATGCCCAACCCTAGCAGCACCTCCTCTCCCTACCCCCTCCCTGAGGAAATTAGGAGCCTGTTGTCAGGTAAAGAGTGGGAAAGGGGCGGGCATCGTTGCCGGGGCGGGGGCGAGGGCTAGCGTGAGGAGACGGCGAGTCGGTGGGGACAGAAGCTTTCAGAATCCCTCCCCGCCCTCTCCGCGCTCGCCCAGTCTCCCACTCGCTCCGGGTTTCCAGGCGGGTGGGCTCGGGAGGAGAGGAAGGGAGTGGGCGTGTGTGTTTACACTTGGTGCGGGTTTGGTTGAGAAAGGGCTACACCAATGGGATCATGTTAATTCCCTTGCATCGTGAAGATGGACTGTTTGTGTAAGCGAAAGAGAGGAGAATGAATGGGAATGAAATGTGGGAAGGAAGTGTAGACAGGCTAAGAGATGTCAAAGCCACAGGTGTTAGGGGTTACGGGGCAAAACCGTTTGCCTTTTCCGAAACTCCCACTTTTCTTGAACATTCTGCCTGTCTGTAGGATTTTCAAAGAGGGCCTGATTCTTAAATGGACACTTGTCTTCAGCCTCAGTAACATAAAAAAAGAAAAAAGGAAGGAAGTGTTAAAGTCCTATTTCCTGTGTCACATGGTGAAAGGACTTTATTTTTGCATCCTCATCTTCCCCCTTTCAATTTCATGTTAGGAGTTAAAGATTAATGCCATTAATGGCCCATTACTACTTAATTAATACACTGATGATGCAGGTGGTATTTCACTAGGGACCAATAGCAGGTTTTATAGTTTGGAGCATGGTAGAAAATGCTTTTTTTAGGGTAACATAAATCTTACCTATCCTAATGTTCTGGAATTTTTGCTTTTATTCACTTTGTCAGGTGTACATCGGAATGTTGGAAATGGAATTTGTTTTATTTTAATTTATGTTTCAATATTGATTCTGAAATAACTATTGAAAAGAGCTGCTCCTAAATGGCCAGTGTTACAAGTTGCATATTCCAGTTTAAAAAAGTAATTCCATTGAGAAGGAGACATTTAAATGAGTACGCTCTGCTACAACAGTGTGAAGTCAAGTCTTCCAATATGATGTCTTAATTTGCTTGGTAGCAGTGCAAATGTAATATATTTAAAAAATATTCTAATAGTATATGAACACACACACACTTAATATTTGCATGAACATGGTACAAGATGAGGAATGAACTTGTGTTTGGACAGTATTTCACTCTAAAAAATGTTGATTGTCTTTAAGGGGTGCCACTAAGGGAAGTATTGATAACTGCTAAAACTGATTTAAGACTGCTTTTATTCCATTATGTGAGAGTTTGACATGAGTACTACAGTTGATCTTCTTGATAAAATGCTGGAATTGCTTGTTTAGAGTATCTTTCAAATAACTAGATCAGGGAAGGGTTTAATCATAACTGCAAAAATAGATCTCATCATTTTCAGGATATTCTAGGTCTGAAATGTTTTAATTTAAGAAAGTGTAAATCTCTAGGTTCATATTTTTAAAGCTTGACATTCCCTACAATAGTTTATTATTTGGATGCATAGCCTAAGATAGTATGAAATATAGGTATTATGAGACCTATTATTTCTTGTGGTGTTTATTTGGTAATTTAACAGAAAACTCAGAATTACATTTATTTACATTTTTCTGCCAGTGTTAACTTCTTTTATACTTATTTCTCTTTTAGTAATGTGACATACCAACCTACTATCTGAAATCAGCCTTTTAGTTTTTGATGACTTTTTTTACATTTTCAAGATTTCATATTATTAAACAAATTGCCACTGCAGATAGGAAGAAGGAAAAACAAATATTAAAACATTAAAACTTTAGAGATTAACAATTTAGATTACACTTTATTTTTTTAGGGAATATTCTCAAGAGATACGGATGTATTGTGAAATCTTTATGTCTCAAATAAATAAAAGAAGTGAACATTTTTTCTTATTAATAACTTATTCAAAGAAAATTGTTAAGATTTTATGCTAGATTGTAATGAAAATATTTTTTGACTAGAGAAGTTTATGAATAGATAATTTCAGCAGAATTTCCTCCAGATTTAATTTAAAAATGCTAGTGAGATTGTTCTTGATAATTTGCATAGTTCGAGTATATTGCCTATTGTATTTGGCACATAGTAAGATTTGTAATTACCATACTACAGAAGGAGACTTAGTATTGGTTTACATTTTACAGGTATTGCTTGCTTATCCAGTGTAGTTTTTTTGAAACTGGTTGGTCATTCTGATTAACCTTTGAATGATCCTAGGATTCATGACACTATGCTGTAATTTTAAGGTAGAACAGAGTAAGAAAGTAGATGTTCGCATGTATATAATCCCTTGTTTTCAAATTTAAAAAATGAAGTAAATGATAATGACTATAAAAACAAGCCTTCTTGGACTTTTTTCTTTGTCTCATATACCTGTATTCACAATTATTGTATGTCATGTGTTATTAAACATTTGATCTTTAAACTGCTTGGTAGGATTAGATGCTCCAGTGTATTTGTCTCTTCATGGTTGTATTTTTAGTTCTTTTAGTTTTGTTATTACAGCAATTTTATGCTGTTCTTTTGGTATTTGTCTCACTCTACCTCTTCTTTTCCTTTTAAAAAGGTGCCAATAGAAACACAACACCCCCAACACAACAACAATAAAACTAAATCCCACCCCTAGACATTCTTATGTCACCTGTGATTATATCCTTTGGGGAAAAAAAAAGTATTGATAGTTTTGTATATTTTCTATGAAATCAGTATATTACATCTTAAAATGCTATATATTTTATAAAAAGTGTGGAATAATGTGGATGTGAATAGGAGAGAGTTACAATTTGCAGTTGGCATTGGTCTGAAAAGTAAATTTGGAACTGCTTCTTATGTACTGCAGACCACTTTGGATGTTTTGCCCATAACAGTGGGAGAACAGGTTTGCTCTGTACAGTCTTAGCGCTTTCTGGCTCATAGAGGCCCGCAGATCTGAGTAGAAGAACCATAGGGCCTTTTTCAAGCTGTAGTCTTTCTTGGAGCAGATCACCACGTTTTCCCCACGTTTGTTGAAATCGCAGACCTTTCAGTTAGTAGCTGATTATTTAACCTCTGCCTCCACGGCTCCTTAGAATAGGATTAGCCAGGGTAAATGAAGGATAATAGAAGGATAATAATTGTTCATTTAAACCTCTCCTGTATCTATCTAAATATTTTGATGAGGACTCAACAACAAAAATAATTTTGATTTATCTGTGTTTTCCCTTGAGGAAGTCAAGAAAATGAAATAAGACACCCATCTCATTTATTTGTTTAGATTATCCACTTATCCTAGGATGCTAGCTATCAGATAAATCTAGTTTAGCACAAAAATTTTAAAAAGGAAAGCTATATGAGGATATTTTTTTAAAAAGTACAAAAAACGAGACCAGTGCTAAAAGAAGAAAATAGTAATTATTAGTACTCTGAAAAGTCAATAAGCAAGTCAAGAAATAGTAACAGTATGGCTATGTAGTTACTGCAAACTGACCTTGAGAGTTTGAATTTTTATTTTTTATACCCTTCATACATCATAATTGATGATCCCTTTAAGGGCACTGTGAAGAATGCAGTTTCACCCCAAAGTAGAGGCAACATGTCTTCACTGCTGAGTATAATGTGCTTGATTTCCACTTTCCAAAATTCCACTTATGATTTGATCAACGTTGTAGGTTTATTTTTTCCCCTATGGAAGATATTCTTGGGGTATCTGGTACCTCAGCTCCTAGGGTATTGGCTGAGTATGTAAAGGGAAGAGTGCCACCTACTGAGTCACAATACTCACCTACTCAGCACCTGGGTTTCCTGACAGAGCAAAACCCATCCCATCCCATTGTTGGTGTAGTTCCTCATGAGCGTGAGCTTAATTCGAGGACATTTGATCTCAAACTGAAGTCAGTCTATGACACTTTCGAGATTTATCTCTTCTATAAATAGAATACTATGTGTTTCTAAGGGATCACAATGGTACGGAGTTCCTGGTACAGGTAACATAATATGGATGAGTTAAGATGCGAGTTTAGGAAGGTTATCTGCCTACTTATTACAAACAGCTAATACCCATCCTTTTGCTTGCTGGGAGAGTCTTTTGCCTGACTTTCCCGCCCTCCATCTCATGGCTTTCTATTAAAAGCATTTTCATCTCAGATTACTAAATGAGGCTGTTGATAGTATGTATAGTTTTGGTAGTTAATCAGTCCAAGTTATCCTTGGTTTTTCTTTTAAAAAGGAACCTAAATATACTAAAACATGAACCATACATGAAAAGTTTCTGGATGAGTGTCTCTGTACTGTTATCAGCATTAAAGCACTATTAGAGGAACAACAGGGTGGGAAAGCCTCTGGTGATTTGAAACACAGCTCAGTTGTTGCTCATAAATTTAAGATTAAGTGTCATATATGGGTGATAAAAGTGGCACAGGCTAGTTTTTATATACTCATTATTCACTTAGTTTGTCTTTTTCAATTAAAGCCAAGTCTGTCTTTTTCATTCCACTGAGTTTACGTTTCGTTGTCAATCACATTCTGAACACATTATAGTAGATGCTGGCCAAGAGTGAGTCTAGTGTAAATCTTGTAATGTGTTAGTTACTGTGGCTTCTTTGAAAATGCATGGTAAAAAGATTTTGATTATTATAAGGTGCTATTTTTCAAAAGTCATCTTCTAGAGGTTGAAAGATGCTCATCCCTATGCTTCAGTATCCCACAGCTTCCGATCAAAAGAAGTAATTTAGCCAATCTGAAAAATTTCTCAGATCATTGGATTGTAACTCAGGTATGTTTTACCCATTGTACTATGAACGAACACTCCTTGTGTCTGTTCATATCCCATTTTCCATATTAAAAAAGAGTCTATGGTTTAGACATAACCGGTAAAAATGTTAGGTAATGAAAGACACTTATTAAAGAAATCTATACTTTTTCAATTAGCCATTTTCCAACTCTGGGCATTTGGCTCCATTGATCTGCATGTATCCAGTTTAATTGATTTTTATATTTACACTCATACACCTTAGGTCAGAAAATTACCTTCCCCTCAAAAGAAGAACTTCTATTCAAATTCCTTGCAGAGAATCTTTACTGAATTAAGTGTGGGGACAGAATGGCTCAGTGAATACAAAGTGAAATCTGACCCAGTTCATAAAGTAGAAGGAGATGTGGAATTAAGTAGGAGAGCCATTTGGGTGCTGTGTAATTGGCTTTGCAGTTACTTTATTGATCTGGGTGGTGAATTCAGTCCAATTCTTGTTCCCTTTCCCGTTCAGACCATCACGGAGGCTTTGTATGTGGGTATTTGGGGGAGGGGGTATTGGGTAAGCTTGGGCTCTCCGCAGGAAGACATGGGTGTTACCTCTGTGACTTGTTTACAACCTCCAGACTGCAAGTCATATTGCAGGCCGGCTGGAGGTGGGGGCTGGTGAGGGCAAGTGGTCAAACCCCGGCCTTTTGCAAGAGTGAGAACGTAGGCTCTATACACCGTTTCAGAACCCAGTGATTTTTCATTTGCAAGAATTTTAAGACTGCCCTGACCTTGTGCAGTTCTGCCATTTTACTTTGCGTGCCTTATGAACATTTATTACAGCTTTTTGTGTGTGTGTGAAATACCTGTCCGGACCACCAGGGATTTTAGGGGGAAGATGGGTGGCAGTGTTTTTTGAGGGTGTGTGCCCTTTGGTTCATGCACCCCCCCACACACACACACTCGGTAAATCTGGTGTGTGTGACTTATGATGGCTTGTGAGGGGTTTCTAACAAACTATTTGCTTAACGTTTGCTGATCTGTAGTGCCATCTTTTACTGTACCCTCCCCCCCAAGTTGTAAATCTGATCCTTCAGCAGCAGTCTTTCTTTTGTAAGTAGAACAGATAATTGTAAATCTGATTCCCAGGACTGGGAGATAAGGTTTTTGATGAAATATTAAGGTGTATCCAAAAGGGAAAAAAAAATCACTGTCACGCTTATATTCGCCGGGAGAACTTTTCTTCCTTGATGACCCTGGGGACCATGGAGATGGTTAAAATCCAGGCATCGCAGACCAGTCTTCGAGGGGTGCTGGTGATTTGGGGCGTCCCCTTTGCACTTCCTCCAGGCCGGGTGTGTTCCTCCAGTTCTCCTGCGGCTGTGTGCTGTAGCTTCTCCATCAGAGAGTTAGGGAAATCCCAGCTCACCAGGCCAGGAGGCGAGTAAGAAGACTGACCTTTTCTTGTCATTAATTTAGGAACATTCACCGAATCGCAGGCCGTCTAAAGCCAGTGAAATCTACTTAGTAGCAGAAGGACACAGCGCCTAAAGAAAGGTAGACTAGGTTCCCGTGCCTGCTCCTCGACTATCTGCGCGGCTATTCAGGGCACAGAGCTTCAATCTCTCCCAACCAGCCAGAGAGCGCTTGATTTACCCCAGACTTTTATTGCTCCCTTTTGAAATATTACCCTGGCTCTGAGCTACAAAGCCTCAGCCTCAGCCCCATTTGTCTGGCGGGGGCACTCCATGCTCCCACTCAGTGGACAGGAGCCTTGGGGTTCAATGCACAGGTCCCAGCGCTGAGCCTGCTTCTGGGGGCAAAGCTCGGGCAGCTCCGTGGCTCGCAGGCTGCCTGTCTGGCATTGGGGGGACATTGTGCTTTCTGCGGGGGCCTTAGGAAGGCTGGCATATCCAGGGGTCTCCCGTGCCTGCGCAGCCTGGTTCGGAATGAACTGGAAAGTGGGGAGTGGGCAGGTTGCTTGAGAATAACCCCTCAATGTCAAAAGCGTAAGAAGGAAATGAATTCTCCAGACAATCTGTAGATGGATTATTTTAGGAATTCCTTAAAGTTTTTCTTCTTTTCTTTAAAGGAAATTAGATCCTCTGCTATTTAGAACTCTTCTGTGAAACAGGATTGGGGGGGAAAAATCACAATTTATTAAATGTTTTCATTTAATGTAAAAACCTTTTTTGAGAGTTGAGATTAGGAACATATAAATTTTTTAAAAGTAAATTCTCCTATTTTTTCCCCTCTGCAAATATTCTCTCAAAAAAACGTGATTTTTCATGCAGTCTCCACTCTTTCAACAAATATTTTGACACTAAATAGCATGTCGTCTTGTTTAAAAAATAATTTAGGAGGAGTCAGTTAGGAAATGTTATACAGCACATAGTAGCTTTTCATGTTTTCTGAGATTTTACAAAACTGAAATAACCTTTCAAAGGAATAACTCTTGGACTATAATTCCGGCCTGTTATTGCTTCCGGAGATAGAAAATAGATCCTGTTTGTTTAAACTTTGATTGTATAATAAAAATGTAAAATAGGCAATTACATACTCATGGTGGAGGGAATTGAAGACAAACATTGAGTGAAAATAACATTAAGAAGACTATGTACCCTCAATTGTGCTAGGGATTCTCCCAAGTATTGTGTCCACTCAGAAGTGGCTGGAGGGACACCACTCCTTCCCCCACCACTTTCTTTGTAGAGTTGTTGTAATGCTTTCAGGGAAACCAATGTTCTTTTTTCCTTTCAGCTGAAATCTGAATGTCCAAGGGATTCTTGTTGCTCTGTGTACAAAATTTAAAGAATTTATAACAGCTGCTTCATAAGTCTCATGATTTTTGTCTCTCTTTAGAAGCCTGAATGTGTTTTATGCTGGTACTAGATTGTCTTGATAGCCCCCCTTCAGAATGTAGACAGTTTAAAGAAAGAGAAGCTCTGACCTTTTGCTTTCATTTCGTTTTGGTTCTTTAAAGCTAAGAGAGACTTCACACCAGAAAACAAGTTTTTAAAAAGAATCCTAAGATTACATTTTGATTCTTTGTTTATCATGTTGGAAGGCACCTCTACATGTTTGTTATGACTGTACAGAATAATAATTTAATCAGCTTTACCTGCACTGGATCAAGGTATTCCTATTTGTAACCAAGAGTTTAAAATTGATTACATTATGTTCTAAACACTAGGTTTTAGATTTGGTAGTTAGTATAACTGAGAGACTGTTACTCTGTTTTAAATTACTTACATATAATGGCATTATTTATTTTGATAACAGCTTTTTCACAGTATGGGTTAGGAGACAAAGTAGTTAAATAAAAGAAAGAAAAACAAACACCTTAAATGTGAAATATGAATATTATAGACATGCATTACAAAATTATTATATCTTCTGTTTTAGCTATCTTAAAGAGAGCTTAGAAATTCTGAAAATGAAGTTAAATGTTTGACATTTTATGAATGGAAATATTCTAAAAACCAAGCCAGCTATGAATCGAATTTTACACTAGATAGAACTAGACAGTAGAATAATTTGGAAGTTTATGATTTTTTTTAAAAGAAGCTCTGTAGAAATATTAGAGATGAGCATAGAAATCCTGCCTTTTAGTTACTATATTTTTAAATAGTGAAAAATTCTATTTTTATCACACCTTGTATTTAATATTTATAGGTAACAACACTAAAGCAGGAAACAAGAGCTCAAAAATGCACACAATTGGTTATTTTTTTCACTTGTGGGTGGCCAGGGTGGGAAGGGCAGCTAAGGGAGGATAGGATTTGGGAATTTTGACTAGAAAAAAGGGATTTGGCTTTTCTTCTTAAAGCTTTAAATGTTTAAATGAAACATTATAAATATCTGAAAATGGACTACACTGGGAAAAACAAGTCCTTGCCAGAGACATTAGCTTGTATTGATTTAAAACTGTGAATGACCTGTTTCATGCAGGACTTAAAATGATACTAACACATGCATAAAAGATCAGTGCTTGCTTTTATAGGAGAGAATATGTTTTATAGGGTACCATACTTTATGAAAACTTGTGTGCTTCTTCCTGGTTTAATGATGCCAAACATCCAAATAGCATTTGCTGTGCTAAGCATAAGTAGAGCATACAAATGTTATTAGCTAAGTGGCGGGCAGATTTGTCCAATTTAGTATTTGAAACATACTTTAATGGTTATGCTTGGAATTGATAAAGAACCAGAACCGATTGTACAGATATTAATACTTAAGGGTTGAAACAGTCATTGTCCTGTGTAGCATCACAAAAAAGAATTCTTTCCTATAATTGTATCTTGTTTCTTATATTTCATGTTTAGATGTTGATATATTTGTAACAGACATACTGAGAGGGGAAAATTTGTCCAGGAAAGCAAAAGAAAAGAGAGAATCCCTTATCAAGAAGATAAAAGATGTGAAGTCTATGTAAGTTACTTAGCTTTTGGTTTTCATTTCTTACTTGCAAGCAACTTTGAAGTTAGTATTTTAATAAGGAATTTATTTTTATGCTATTATTATTATTGTTAAATGCTTTATATTCTAATATAATTGATACTAAGTATTTTTAGAGGATAAAAGCCCTACTGTAATAGTTTTTTTAAATAAACGTTCTTATTATACCATCTTTTGTGTGTGTGTATGTGTGAAGGTTCTTGACTATGTATTTTTCTAAGCATTCTAGTAAAATTCAGCTATTTGATATGAAGGTATATTTGATTTAAGTCTTGTAAGGTAGGCTGAGAATTTTAATATATTACAATAAATAGGACATAAAAAGAATCCTTTTCATTGTTAACATTTAAATGAATAATAGTAACATAAATTATTCTTATTAAGGATACTTTCTGATTTTGCCATTTTAATTGACAACAAAGTAATTTTAAAGAAGTGTATTTTTAGTTCATTACAATATTTTAAATGTAAAATAAGCCTTTTAGAACTGTTACTTTAGACAGGAAATAGTTTTTCCTGCAAATGTATATTTAAAATAGATTTTAAAATAATTTTGAATTTTTGCCACTGACCAGGCCTTGTTTGTGTTTGTCAGCCCTCATTTTAAAGCAGTGTTTTTTTGTGTTATTTTGCAGCTATCTTCAGGAATTTCAAGATAAAGGTAAATTATCAAGTTTTACACACTTGAATTTTTTAAATCTTTTTCAACAGAATAATCTAACATCTTCTAAAACTTGATAATTGGGATCAAAATTGAAATTTCTGTACTGTCGACATAGATGTTCATGATGAGAGTACTAGCTCCCCCTGCTGATAAAAAAGAAAGGGTATCTGGGGTCTGCTCTGCACCACCTCTAGATGCAGAAATCTTGCTTAAACTGCATTCCTAAGGATTTTTTGGGAGTATATGGTGGCGGAAATATGCTAAGAGGGGTATGTACTCACAGTAACCTCTACAATAATTTGGAGACGTGGAGCTGAATTGCAAACCTTGTACGGTTCAACACTACAGAGATTACTCAGAGCAAATGGGTGAGCATCAGAGCCTCTGGCTGGGTGCACATAGGCAGTATTTCTGAAGAATAATATTTTAAAAACAATTGAAAGTTTTCCTTGAAAATGGAATAGTTTCTCACATGTTAATTTTCATTTTCTATATTGTATGTGTAATATAAATAAACATGTGCCCTATGCATTTTCATAAAGAATGACATTTCTTTTTCTTGTACTATAGAAAAGTGTTTGCTACTTTCTCGCCTTCCTTCAAATTTGAGAGGGAGTTGCTTAGAGTACTGAAAACCAGCAGAGAAAAGGAAGTTGCTGATACTTCAGATCTTTGGTTCTGTAAAGGAAGTGGGGATGGCCCTTACTTCCATAATGCTAATGACCAGGTCATGACCTGAAGCCTGTGGATGCTGGAGTAAGAGTCACAGCATGAGTTCAGTTAACCTAGTTGGAATCAGGTTCTGGCTTTAGAGAGAAGCATCCTAAGGCATCTCCTAACTGGAGGTTGCAGATAACCGCAGAGTAATTCATGTCTGTACCAACTGATAAGTGGGAGAGTCCTGACAGTTTTAATAAACCAAGTTCTTAACCAAACAAATCTAAACTCAAAGAGTTAAAAGGAAACCACAGTTTTTTTGTGCTTTAAATCATCAAAATCACTGTGTACCATATGTTTAGATTAGGGAATAGGAGATGAGATTCCCCCGCCCCCCATTTAAAATTTGTACAGCTTTAAATAGGAAATGCCACCTCCCTCCAAGCAAGTATCTCTTTTTCTTATAATCTGGTAATGAATTTTAAACCATGCTTTTATAATGTTGGATTTTGCTTATGTACATATAGAATTATTGAATTTATGCACTCTAGTTGTAATAAATATTACACAATACTTTATTTATAGGGATATATTAGATGTGAAATTCTATCTTCTTAACAAGCAAATTTTGTTCCAGTGATTATTTATTGAATTTGTGATATGATTTAATTATTTATATATTAAAAAGGTTTAAGCTAAGCAGACATGGTAGTATGAGTCATCACATAATTGCATGTGGTTGGGTAATAGTGTAGAAACTCTCCCTTTGGCTTTCTGTTTTAAGATTTGTTCAAGTGTAGGCTATCAAAATTACATTACCAAAATATATTCTTATCTCCAAAGAAAATGGAAGATTTTATATAGTATGTGATAGAAATTGGGAAAAAATGAGTCTAGAAAAAAAAATTCAAATAACATGAAATTCAGTGGTTCCCCATAATAATTTCCTTCAGAATAAGTCACTTATAGTTCAATACTGGCATAGGGAGTTAACTAATCACCAGGAATGCCTATTCAGAGGGAAGCCTGGAATGAATGAGATGTATATCTGGGAGAAATAGGAGAAGCCGAGTAATCTTATGCCGTTGTACTCTCAAACTGCATTTAGCCTTAGTTTTTAAAGACTATTCCTGTAGTTCGTTAGGTAATAGGAAAGAGAAATTAATACAGATTTAATAGTGATAAATGATTCAAGGTGCAATTTTTAAAACATAGCCATCTGTTTTATTATCTGAATCTCTGCATTGAGTGACTTCAGTTTTAAGTGTGTTTTGATTTGTAGTGCTCTTTTTTTTTTCTTTTTCCCTTTTTTTTTTTTACATTTTCCCCATGAGAGTTTTTGATTCCCTTTATCTAAGGGGATCTAGACAAATTCTTTTGGCTACTTTTTTTATGTTCTTTCTCTTATATTCTCTGTCAAAATGAAATGAACAAAAGGTATGTTTCCTCCTTTTTGCCTTTATCCTATATGTTGCACATAGTGTTTTTAGGTGGCAAGTAAGTATTATTTTTAATATCATTAGTCTGAGAAGAAAAAAATCCAGATGGAGAATTTTTTTAAAAAGTGAATTAGCTCCTATTTATGAATTTCTGATGTCATTTATTCTAATGCACATGATGTTTATTTTCCTTCCTTCCTTCCTCGCCTGTGTTCTTCCCTGCTTTCTGCCCGTCTTGAGCATCACCAGTATAAACACATAGTCTGAATCATTTCTACCTCCCCCCCCCTCACTGCTTAAAATACAACGTTTCATGAATTTTTGTGTGGTCCTTGGGCAGGGGTCCTGATATCTTCTCTGTATCATTCTAGTTGTAGTATATGTGCTGCCAAAGCGAGTACTGAAGTATTCCAATTCTTAAAATGAATTTAATTTATAGATTTGTTGAAACAGTAAACTTGTGTAAGTCTGCATAGGTCTTAAAAGTATTTTTGTATGTGTATTCCTCTTTTGTACTGAAAAGAATTTGTATTATTGTTACTGACTGACTATAAACTAGAGTATTTTAATAAAGTTTTACTTAACAGTTGTACCTTGTCCCTATATTGTCATTTTACTCTAGTTGATGATTGAAGTATGCTTGGGTTTTTTAGAATGGTGTGTTTAAATAGGATGTTATGAAAATACCTTTGTATGATATGTAGTTGCTGTTTTGTGCCATCAACTCGTGTACAACTTATAGCGACCCTAGCGAGGAGTAACAGATCTGAACCTTGTCCTATCCTATGCCATCTTCATCTCTGACATACGCGAGCTTATTGCTGCAGTTACTGTGTCAGGCCATCTCGTTGAGGGTCTTCCTCTCTTTTGCTACCCTCTACCATTCCTAGCAAAAAAAATTATATTAACATATGTTTTCAGTTTTAATTTAATATTAATTTAAAATTTTAATTAATAAATTCTGTCTTAAATAATTTTGAGGAAGTAATACATTCTTGAATGTCACACACTAACATTGAGACAAATATTTATAAAGAATATTTTTCATGCTTATAAAATACTAGTATCTACAGAGTTAAAAATGTAAATTGCTTTTGATTCATTTAGTTGTCATAACTAAAAAGTTCTCATTTTCACCTTTAAAAATTCCTTTCCTCTAGTTGTTAAAATAAACATAACAGATTTTTGTCCTAAAGATGCCAATGATACTGTTAAATATGTGCAGGTATACTAAGAAAGCAATTTCATTTCACTTTCTTATTTAAGCACTTCTTACGGTTATGAATGGACTAATTTTTTAGATAGCAAAGGTATTCGATAAAATGGAACCCATCCTAATTTGTCCTAATAGTTTTTTAAAACAGCAGAAAAGTTGGAAGGCTACAACTTGCATGATGGTTAATATCCCTTCCCCTCCCTAACATAATATGTTTTCTTTCTAAAGTTAGCTCCACTGTGAAATGTGAGCAGATAACTTGCCGATTCCCCTTCTTTCACCCGTTGCCTCCCACATAGGTGATCATCATTTCTGAGTATGGGTCCTCTGCTAGTAAAATCTATAGCCTTTGAAAACCTTCTGGAGGGTCAGCTATGAGTCTTAATTTCAACCGGATGGCAGTGAGTTTTAGGACAGACTGATGGAATTAGTCCTTGAACATAGGAACCTATTTTAAGGCTCCATTTCACTTTGTTGTGAGAAATTGTCTTACTTTTTGCTTGCTATACTTTAGGTCCCATATTATAGAAGAATTTAAAGCCTTTAACATGTTAAGAATGAAACTACAGATTCTCTTATGTCAGATGTCATTCTTAAATGTCAAACTACATGCTGAATTCTGTCTGTTTAGCTGCATATTATTTGAAAAGTTAGTTTGGTTACGTGAACAAAAAGAATTATCCCTCAAATTTGTCTTTCATCCTCTGTTAGATGGAAGGCTCATCAACCAAATCTTAGGCATATTATTTATTTAGCTTGATGTTTACTTGACTGTATTTAACACAACACTGTGTTAGACAAAACAAGCAATTGATTAATCACCTTCATTGGTGGTAGAGAGCATGTCTGTTCAGTGTGGTTGTGCTACATATGTAGACACTTATGAAAATGTTAATTGGTCATAGCCATACAAACAGAATAGATATTGGTGATTTGAACTCAGCTGTTACAGATTTTACATAGAAATATGCTGCAGTGGTATGATTAAACCTGAATTTTGCTGTATTATTTAACTTACTACAGAAATTATCGGAAGGGAAGTCTTGAATCATTGTTTAAACTGCTAACTTTGTATCGTTAATTAAACTCTTAAAAGTTGTGAGATAAATCAAATGCTTTTCTAGGGAAACAAGAAACAGTATTAATGAGCAACAACCCCATAATTATCCTTGTGAGTACATAACAGGGACACATTCATGTCTTTTCTTTGCGCAATAACTTTTACAAAGAAGTATTTTTAAACTGATCATTAATTTTATGACCACAGAAATGAGATGCAAAATTTATGCTGTTGTCATTGGCACAGGCTCAAGGCACCACTGACATTATGTGTGATTGTAATAGAATGGCTGCCAACTAATGATTCTGTAGACATTTCATTTGAGCATGCTTTTCTTTTAGATGTCTGATTAGGCTATAATGCTTTCAATTATGTCTGCAAATTGTATTGGATACGTTTACCTGATGCCCATTGTTGATTTGGAGTTCAGTTTTCTATCACATAAACTCAAGTTGAGCATTTTCCTTTTAATTTATAGAAGTCTTTGCAGGTACAGCTGCAAGTACTCAGCCCCTGGGGAGGAGAAAGGCTTTGCACCGCTCAACAGCGACCCCTGTGTTCAATTAAGGACGCATTTAAGACCATCAATTTTAACTCTTTGTTGGGTTAGGCAAGAGCCCCCAGAACTAAGGAGAAAGAAAGAAGATGGATAATCAGTGGAAAATGGAAAATAGTAAGATGAAGAAGAAGATATTGAAAAATGATACGCTCTTTCAGGTTATGCAGTTTTTAAAAAAAGTCAATTATAGAATATTAAAGTGATTTTTTTTACACTTCCCAGGTTAATACAAACTAAAATCAAAGGGGGAAATGAAGTTACTAGCACTTCCTAGTTCAATCTGGGTTAGCCAAGTGAAAATATCACACTTGATTTTTTTTATTTAGGAAAATACTTAATTAGCTTCAGGTTTTGGGATGAAGGCACTTTCACTTTAATACATAAAGCAAAGATGATTTTAGAAAAACAAAAACCATAAAAAGTCTTAACATATTTGTGATCGATTTATATATTCTTAACCCAGCAAATATTATTTAATTTATATTTAAAATCACGATTCTTTGATGATCTATTCCAAATATGGATTTGTGTATGCATATGTGTGCCTGGCTATATGTACATAGATAAATGTATGTATGTGTATGTGTAGTAAATATGCATAATGTAGATACGTGTGTAAAATAAATCTCAAACTGAACCCACTGTCATCGAGTTGATTCTGATTCCCCGTGACCCTGTAGGACTGGAGTGCAACTGCCACCTGGGTCTCCCAGGCTGTAACTCTTTATGAATCAGGCTGCCACATCTTTTCCCTGCAGACTGGCTGGTGGGCTCAAACTGCTGGTATTTTGGTTAGAAGCCAAGCGCTTAATCGCTGTACAAGTAGTCTTATTTTATTGATACTGAGAAGTATAAAAGGGTAATAAACTGCTTCTGAGTCTCAAAATGTTTTAAGTTAGACATTTTGTTTGGTTATTCATAACCAAATAGAATTTAATAAGGCTAATTTTGAGCAACTGATTTTTTTTTTCAAGACTAGTTCCATATGGTCACTGATTTTAATATTAAAAATAGTGTCATATGCTAAGTGTTAGGTTTTGGTGTCTTATTTTACTAGCAAGATTTTTTCCACAGCAAGATTTTACAGTACGTGACATGAAATGCTTTAGAATATTAATATTATAAAAATTCTTGCTTTGTTAATAAGGATACTAAAGCAAGTAAGAGCAGTTGGGAATTTTGTGACTGGTACTGCAATAAATATATATCCCATGAACTGCCATCTTATGTTCAAACACATTTTTACTGTCACTTTGTAAGATTCTTTTTAACCTCATGTCCTACATTACTATATTCTTTGCCTAATAAGAAAAAATCAGTGTTAAGGGGTCACTTGTGTTTGGAAATGTGTTTTGAACATCTGAAAAGAAAGAAGAACTAAGATCTGAATGAAGAACTAAGATCTAAGAAGAATGTCTGATATTTATGTGTTTCTTAGTATTTTAATCAGGAGAAAAACATCACCATGTGTTGTGCACCTAGTGGTGGAATTAGAAAAGGACAACAAAGTAATCATCTACCATCCACTCTTTACTGTCTTGATAGAAGAGATCTCTATTTTAACTTTCTGAATCATGATGATAAATGCTGGTAAAAGAGAAACATCACAAGAAAGAGATATACATTGATTCTTTTATTACTTTGACAATATAATATTTTCTTTACCAAAAATTAATGTTGATACTCAGCCTTGGGTGTCACAGGATATAGATATTCTTTTAGACGGACTTCTTGTTGTTGTTGTTATGTGCCATCGAGTCGCTACGTACCATCAAATTAGAACTGACCCATAGCTGACTCTCCAGTGGGTTTGAGTCACATGTGAAGAGATTGTTCATCCCCCCCCCCCCGGAAAACAGCTGCTGGATTTGAACTGTATCCTTTTGGGCTAGCAGTGCAGCTCTTTACCACTAAGCCACCAGAGCCCTCATTTTGGAAGGACTAGAAACTGGGTCCTAAATAAATGTTACAGATATCTGAGGAGATCTGCAGAGATTTTCATTATGCTTTTTAGGGTAATTCCTGAGGCAGGCAGTTTTCTCTTGAATTGTTAGCAGAATTAAAATTGTTGACCACTTTTAAATGTGTATTTTTTTTGTTGTTGCTGACGACTCATAATGACCCTGTGAAGAAAAGGCCTGAACACTTGTATAACTTTCATCGTATCTCCAAATTTTGGAGGCAAGTTATTTCTGAAGTGGATGCCACTCCAGCTTCCAAGCTTGTTTTAATCGGGGAGCTCCAACAAACACTGTCCACCATGGGTAACCATTATCACATTTGATGCATCAGTGTCATAGTGTTTAGCGTCATACCTCTGTACAGCAAATGGACAGACAAGTGCTATACCACTTAGGAGAATGACCAAAAACAATTAAAACCAGGCCTGAGTGCCACAGATTAAAACCACCCTCCTTTGACTTAGTAGCACAACTTTCTATTCACCAGGCCCACAGAGCTCTCTCTGTGTTGGTGTTGTTAAGTCATAGACAACTCATAGAATCAGGCTGCTCCAGACCACTGTCCCACCTGGAAGCCAGCACATACTGCAGACCCCTACCTTTTTAAATAGGGGGCCAAATACAATCAGTTAACTCCCTATGGCTGATAAACAGTGCACCTATGTCTCACCTGAAAACAAGATTAAACCTCTGTAGAATCAGGCTGCTCCAGACCTCTGCCCCAGCACCACTTTAAATAATAGGGCTAGCAATTGATTCCTTAAAAAAAAAATTTAATTGAATATGAAGGGTAGGAAAGAAACATAAACCACAGAATCCTTTGTGTGGATTAAAAAGCTTAAACACCCGTCTCTCCTTAGAAGAAAAAACAAAAACAAAACCACACAGCAAAAACCCCCACCCAAACAGTTTAGCAACGCAGGATTTGGAAATTAAGTAGACAACTGGCCTTGCCACTGGATACAATGAAGGGTGTCTGATTGTAAGTGAATCTGTTTGAATTTGAAGGTTTATATGAGGGTATATGCAGCTTTCCCTCCTAAAGAATTTTACTCTCTATTACTAGTGAGTTCTGGTGTCTCAGTGGTAAAAAGTTGCCTTGCCAAACCAAAAGGATGTGATTCCAATCCACAGCAGTTCTGCAGAAGAAATATGGGCAGGCTCCACCTCTGTGATTTACTCCCTCTGAAAATCCATGGAGGCTCAGCTATTAGTCGATTCCAACTCAATGGACACAACCACAGCAACTCTCTGTATTGCAACTAGGTATTTGTAATCCACTTTGATATAATCCTGTAATTAAAAATATCTAAAAAAAGGTAAAATGATCATATAAGATGAAATAACTAAATTTATAGATTATTAAGTAGATAACTGGCATATTTGAATTCTTTGTCTCCCCCAAGGTGGTTTTTTTTAAAAAAAATTGATACTTTTGTGTGTTTTATACACATACTCTGTTTTACCCTGCCTCTGCTTTTTATATTCTTCTTCTAGGGATCATTATAATTTTTGGATTTTATCTTTTTGTATTAAAAATAAGCAATCCTATGTTTGTGTTCAAACTTCTACTCATATATATATATGGCCCTGGATAGAAACTAAAATGGGAACTGCTTTTACTTTGTTGATTAATTTTTCCTTGTTCTTCCATGTCAGTAACTGAATTTAATAGTAAGAGTTACCTCACCTGACAAAGTAATATTGTTTTAAATGGCTAATTTAGAAAAGTGTTTTCCTGGTTCTTTTTCAGGTGATGTGGAAGATGGGGAAGAGTATGATGACCCTTTTGCTGGATCCTCAGACACAGTTTCACTCGCCTCAGAACGATTTGATAAAGATGATGAAGGCCCCTCAGATGGTATGTGACATTTTCCCATAGAATATATGTGGCGTTTTCGCATCAGCACATACACTACGTAGAGGTGGTGCACTTGTCAATAAACAAGTTAAGGCAGAGGTTTCATTTAACTTACCTTTACTAGAACCTTTTAAGGAACAGAAGAGCTCTCTCTAGTGGTTCTGAAAGAATACTGAGGTTTTCGGGATATGTAGCTGCTGCTTTTTTCCAGGACATTTTCTTTACTGGAATTTTTAGGAGACTGCTTGCATTGTTATATTTCTATTATTATTAGTAATGGTTTGTTGGTTAATGTAATATTATCAGATTCTTGCTTAATTTTATTGTGTAGCTTAATGACTTGTTGTATTATTAATTTTATAAATAATGAAACAGGTTTCTGATCTATTTTTTCTGAAAACTTCATACAAAATGAGTTCATAAAATATTAAATTAATTATTTCTACATTTCCTTTTCACATTGAGACAGGCTTTTATCAAATGCTGCTTTTTATACACATTTTTGTTTTTCTGATTGTCAATTAAAAGTACCAATTATTTGGAGGGTTATTATAGTGCTTCATATTAATTGAATTAGTAATACAGTTGATTGTTTATCTGTTATTAAGTTCTAAAAGCAATTGACTATTGTGTAAGTTATGAAAAGACTTTTTAGTGTAGTGTTTTTTTTCTTTGTGATAGCTAGTTGAGTGCATCTGTGCTACAGAAATGTTATATGGTTGATATGCAGTTATAAATTAAGACTGCATGTCGATAAATTAGCCATGCATATTAATTTGTGCCACTCAAAGTTTCACAGAGACAGAGAGAGATGAATAATGCTTTCTGCCACTATATGATGATCAAACTGTGCAGTTCCATCTCTAAATACAATTGCTGAATGAAAATATGCTTCCTGCAACAGAGCACTCCACATTTTATGTTATCCAGATTATTCCCTTTGGAAACATAAATTGCTTTTATGAGGTATAAAATTATGTCTATTGCAGAGTAGGGATAAGTCAAGTGCATGCATAAGTGATAAACATTCTAACCACTGATTCAGAACAACACAATCTTTTTTTTTCCTCTTCAGAACTTTGTACAATGTGTAGAAATAATCATCATATTTATTTTATGTTGAATTTTACATTTTAGCAAGCATTTAATTTTTGTTTTTGAAGGAAGAGGGTTTTTTTTTCCTTCTTTCTCATATTCTTATCCCATGTTTTGAAAAGATATGGAACATTTCTTTTCAATCACACTTAACTCTTCAAAATAGAGCGTTACCATTCTAATTTGGTTTAAAAACATTTCTTAGAGAAAATGTTTTATCACTGATGAAATGTTTTCAAGCAAAACGAGGAATTACCATTTATGTTGAACTATTTTTGAGACATCTTATAATTGTTTTGTTTCTGGGCGAAATGATCATAGGTATGAATGAACATATGTGTGTATATGTAATGTTTATAGGGAAGAGGAAAAAAATACATGCACACACAGAGAATATATTTATATTTATACTTAAGTTTCCACATAACAAGTATTTTGATGCACGCTATGTACATTCTTAAAAATAATTAAAACCTAAGAAATTCAACAGTTAAAATACCTATGAGAGCTAGAAATATTAGTGATTTGTAAAAGTACATTTTTATGAAATTATAATGTATTTACATGATTATCATACTTTCTTTTGAAAAGATAATTTGTCCTGTTTGTTTTTATAACTGAGTATCTAGAAATAGTTAAGATCATGAATGATATTTGATATTTAAAGAAAGATTTGAATATTATTTAATATTTAATAAGTCGTAACATCAGATCTTTGTTAAGTGTAAGTACATTTTGATTATTGTTTAAGCAATTTTTAAACAGATTACAAATTTTGCTTCTGTTATTATTCATTTGAAGTATAGAAATTTTTGACAGTTTTACGTTTTCATATGAAACTATTATTATAAAATAAAAGCTATTACTTGAACTGTTCTTTTACTTTAAAATATTAGTTTTATCAGTTTATTCCCATGTAATTACTGTTTTATATGTGTTCTCTTTCCTTTGCCGAATAATATTTCCTTCATTATGTGACCTCAGTCTAATGATGTATTAATTATAAAAAGATAATACATTTAACAATAAGGATAACCAGATTATCACAGGTCACCAAAGGGCCTTTGTCAAATCAGATTGTTGTTTTGTCCTTTTGACTTTTACCTTATGGTAGGCACTAGCAAAATATCTGAACTTTGATGGATTATGAACTCCAAACATGATATGTATTTTTCATAATGCTAATGTAATTTTCAAGGTTCTGAAAAGGTCAAACCTGCACATCTCTGTGTGCATTCTAAATCTGTCTTTCCCTTTAATATTTCTTTCTCTCTATTCCTCTGGTTCAAAAGTTCACTCATTTCCCAAATGGCCACCTAATTTTCCAGTTATTCCCTCAAGCCATATGTGTTTTGGTTTCTTTATGGTTTATTAGGTACTGTAGGAAAGTAGCATAAGTTATATCTTCTAATGAAATTCAAGCACACTTCAGTGATGCTTCGACTTGATTGCTGGTAGCAATTAAATCACATCCAAGGAGAATAATGCATAATCTCACCAAGTCCAGACATCCTATAGAAACTGAAGAGGGATGAAAGCAGAAAACAAAAACAAAGTCTCTGAACCCTGCCAGACACAGTTTCCAGGCTTCTTTTTTTTTTTTTTTATTGGCCCACTGCCTGATTGATAGCAAAATCATAACTTGCTGCATGCTAACAGGCAGAGTTCACTTGTAGGTTATTGTGAGCTGATAAAGGGTTAGATGGAGTTTTGATTTTTGCTTTGGACCTTGGTACACCAGATTAATGGAATTTCAATGAGAGACTAGAGTAGCCACAGCTTTGTCAGAGAAACAGATGGAGATTCTATAGTCATGCCTACTCATTAATACTAGTTGCCTGAAAGGTGTGCTGCTTCTCTATACAAAAGAGTTGGTATAATTGATTTTTGAGTGGAGGGTTGGGGAAACCTCCCCCCCATTTTATTGATGGCTACAATTGTAACATAGATAGTGACAAATTTTTGTATAGCTTGCAGCATAAAAATTTTGTACATTGTAATTTTTTCTTTTCTCTTTAGAGACACATTTTTTATTATTTATTTATTGAAGAGAAATAAGTATTCACACCAGTACCATGAAAGGAGAAAACAATATGCTAAATTACTTTTAATGGAGAGGAGTTAATCTGTATTTTATTTCTAAATGATTGCATGACTACATCATTTTCATTTTGATATGATAATTATTATTTAGAAAAATTGTCAATTAGAAATTCCATTATATTGGCTTTACTATTTTGTTCCTGGAAAATAAAACATATATTAGTAGAGCATATGAGTATAGGTCTCTTTTAGATGCTTTTATGCTATTGTGTGGCTGAATATATTGGCGTACGGGTATAAATGCTGCTTGTAAGTAATCTGATAAAATGAAATAAAAAAAAAATCTTAAAATGTGCCTTAATGTACACACATTAGAATGTTTGGGTGCTTAAGAGTTAGACAGTGAGTAGCTTTTAGATACTGCATGTTTACTTGGATTTCTATTCTGAAATAATTTTTTTTCATTAATTTTTACCATTTGTTAAACAAAACACTTTCTAACATTGTAGAAATCTCACCTTAAAACAGTCTCAGAGTAAGGTGAAAGGATTCAGTGAGCTAGAAGACATATATCGGCTCTGCTCATCGATGATAGGTCGAAGGATCCCAGTGGACATTTGTTACAAATCTGATTCAGTCCTTGACCATAATCGCTTTATGGATAAGAATCTGAAACCCCCAGGGTGTGAATATAGGAAGACTGAAATGAAGCCAAAGACATAAACCAGTCATTTATTGTCCTGGTAGCTTCCTATCTAAAAATTCTCAAATAACACAGGTTACTGAAAGCTGTGGACATAGCAAAGAGATAAGTTTATATATATTAAAAGTTCATTTAGGAATATAACTGTTCTTTAAATTATGAAAATTAAGAAAAACAGTTAATTTGCTTTTACCACAATTTATGTTATTAAATTACACACACATGCTTTTTGGCATATGTTTCTTAAAGAAATGATAGAAATATGTGAGTTCCTAATACTTTTAAATTTAAAATTCCAGAGAATTGCTTAAAAAAGAATTAATTCCAAGAATGAGTTTTTGTAATCAGTCTTACTCAGTGTTTGATCTAAATATACAGACATGCACTTACATAAATTTCATGCACCAATTTTTTGAGGAACGTATTTGCTGTGTAAAAACAGGTGCAACACTAACCATTTGTTGTAAAAACAGAGCTGTAACTGCTTTACTTTTCGTTGGGTTCCCACAGAATTGAAAAGAGTATTTAAATAAAAAACTAACAACAAAATGTTTTTCAATAACTTTCCAGTTAAGAGAAGAGTTTTTCTACTATTGTTGTTGTTGTTAGGTACCATTGAGTTGGATCTGATGCACAGGTGACTCTCCAACAGGCTTTTGGAGTAGCATGTTATTTTGATACTTAAAATTGTGTTCTATGTTTAAGTGAGCACTTTGCATGAATTTTTTTTTTGTATGTGTGTAACTAACATTTGCATGATTTTTTTTTATTGCATTTCTTATATGTGGCTTACCTTTTCGGTTATTTTAGGATTTAAAGTAGAGGGATAGAGGGAACTTAGAGGTGGGGTAGGTATGTGGTTCACAGTAAGAGCTGGCAAACCGGCTAAGTTAAGGAGTTTCCCTTTGATTGAATATTCTTTAAGATGTACCTGCAGAAATCTGTTTCTGCTACTGATGGAAATTTAGGGAGCTCTGGTGGCCTAGTGGCAAGAAACGGTGCTGCAGTCCCAAAGACATGTGGTTCAAATCCACCAAATGCTCTGCAGGAGAAGGATGGGCAGTCCTCCCCTATGCTATTTGCTGCCTCTGAAAACCTGCTGGAGGGTCAGACTCAATGGCAAACACCACTACCACCAATGGAAATTTGAAGAAGATTG